TCCATCACATATTCATAATTGTGCTGTGATAAGAGGAAGGAGTGATAAAACCGACAGCCCAAAACAAGAGAGAGCAGATGACCGTCTTTGACAAGATGGCAGGCAGTCAGAACATTGAGATCTGCTTGTCTGCTGGGCAGAAATTCAAAATTTTTCACTGGATACAAATCAACCACAGATCTACTACACACTGGAAAAGACACCCATCTTATCCTGGTCACCTCACAAGAATGGGCCAAAAGCAGATCTTGAATTTATGGGCTTTACAACACTTTCCAAGCTTCTATAACAAGCCCAAACTAGGTCAGTTTTGATTGAGCATTGGATTCAAACTGTAATTTATTTTGCATCTATAAACCCTACTGTGCTTGGATAAAGGCCAGGTCCTATCTTTCACACCTATTCAAAGCAATCTTTGTAGCAAGGCAAACAGGTAAAATTACACTGGCTTTTGAAAAGCGCTCCTCAGCCCTTAGGTGCTACGCAACAATGACTGGTTCTGTCAAGTGAACGTGAATCAACTGCTTCTCCTGTGGACATTAACGTTAATTACAAAACTGAGGAGTATTCCCATGAGTTTAAATATGTTCTTCAAGCCAAATCCTCAAAACAGTATTCACATTTTTCACACAGGTCTATCACAAGCCACAAGAAAACAATTCCTTATCAATACACACTCTCGGAGCAAGAGGAGGTAAATATTTTATGGGAAATTCCAGTAAAATTCCCTGCTGTTGGCGATCTTCACACAACCACAGACATAAACCATCATTTGATTCAATTGCCTGCAGCTGATCGGCATCTAGAATCCTGCGTACCTTTTGCTTGCACACGGAAAGTGCAAAAAATCACAGGGCGAAAGTTTTTACCAACAAAAAGGTGATCATTCGGTTCAAGGTGCCAGAGATAGAATTTCCTTTGACAACTTTGTTGTATAGAGTCAGAGCTTATCCTCAGGTAAGTTCAAGCTGACTTGTAAGATCAGTTGCAATGTTTCAGGATGGGGTAATGCAGACATTCAAAACCATAAAGACATTCTGAAGTTTGGGAAGGGTCCCAAAGACATCACTAGATCTGTGAAATGCCTGAGGACAGGCAAGTGGCACAATACAAATGAAGACCACTTTGTGTTACTTCTTCGGGCCTACATATGTTCACAGAGGCACACATGGATGACTGACAGCCAGACAAAATATATCATGACTAATGTCTCACTACCCTAGGTGTCTACAACACATCAAGACAAGTTCAACCTGAAACTAAGAAAAGGGACAAAAAAAAAAAGAATTAATAAAAACATAGGTCAGTTAGGAGGAAAGCCGTTTCCCTCCGGGATGTTTTTTGGAAAATGTTTGATAATGTATTTTGGTTTTATGCCAAGTCCAACTTTTAATGGATTTAAAAGATATATTTAAAGAGGAAAGGGGACATATACAATTTAGGAGTAAGTATACCATAATGCTTAAATTGATACCATGTATCTTAACTGTTTACAGGACCAGTGAGTACCCTTGCATGCCCTGGATTGGTCATGGTTTAATTGAAGTCTACCGGGAGTGGACAATATAAACAGTATACATAGCACACCGGTATGAATTTGCTCTATTCAACAATACCGTGCCAGTTGGTAGAGCAGGCTTCATCGTTATCAGCTTGTGAGAAGTTGATTAAAAGACCCATGGAACTTCCATTATATGGACTTGGTTGAGAAGTCAGGCAGCAAGCAGAAAACAATAATCTGCAAAGTAGGTCGGGTGACAGTGGTTGCATGGTGTGGTAATACAAGCAATCTTTTCATGTCAAATACAAACACGTCCTGCTGTACTTATTTCAGTTTGTGCAGCTTCATTTTATTGTATTTCGTGAAAGTGTTTTTCAGAGATGGAAGTTACTTGAGAACTGGTTTTGTATTTTTATTATATTTTGCACAATAAATGTTCTTAAAATACTTGTATACTTTGTGAAATATGTCCTAGTAATACAGTTCAGAGTACAGTAATACCGGCAATGCAGTTGCCATGCCAGTGCTTTTCCCCTTCAGAAGCATCCATCCATCCATTTTCTGTAGCCGCTTTTCTTGTTCAGTGCCGTGAGATAGAGATTGACTGATTAGATAGACAGATATACACACACCCACATACACAAACATACTCGCATGCAGACACACACAGACCACAATATATACCATTACCACCAGTGCTTTAAATTATACCCTGGTATAAATGATAGACCCTGATATATGAAGCCATATTGAAGACCCCAACAATTGCTGGAAAACAGCCCTGGAAAGGCAGAAGTTTAAATGACAGATGCCGAAGAAGTGCAAGCCAAATGAGAACTGCAATGCTGCAGTGAAACTTTCAAATGGAGGTTATAACGCAATTAACATGCTCTGTGAGTGTGGCATACATCTGTGTCCTGGCTGGGCTCCAGCAGTCTATGTCATTAATCTAATTTCTAATCGGGGGGAGGGGGGGGCTAATCACGAGGAATAGATCAGAGAGGGGTACTTCTTTCTCCTTTTGGGATTCAACTATCTCATGCCTTGATAAGATGACAACACAAAACCTACCATACAGCATTAATAGCAACTGCCTAATAATACACAACGGCACCCTGGGTAGGATGACACCTTCTGTTACCTCTGCAGGATTTATGATATTACTGGTCACATGGTCATTGCAGAAAAATACTCACAGGCTAGACAAGTATTTCAAATTCTGCCAAATGTTAGCAATTTTAGAAACTAATAAATGCAAAAGTAATCCTCCAAGTAACAGGACCAACAGACAACACTGAATAATGGTCTCACAGAATCCCATGACAAGGACAATGTCCACAAACATATTAAAACTTCATCAAAAAGCAAGAAAGAATAGTTCTTAAATATGATTTATCACTTAGTTGAATAGTTCTATTTTCAATGCAAAATGTAGAACAGATAGTTTTTAATAGGTAAAAATGCCTATCCAATAAAAAGTGCAAATCAATACACTGTCTGGCCTTTGCTTTAACCTGCAAAAGCTGTTTTTAGCCCACCCCACAAGGGTGGAATATTTCTGACATTCAGCAAACAAATCAGCCGATTTAGGTCATTAACATGAGGCACTCTGCATTTTCCCCTTTTCTCTAGTCAATTACCCAAAACTTGCTCCATCATTAATGCAGTCACCTAATGTGCTGTCTAATTAGGATAATTACAATTTACTGTTAATCGTATCTGCTATTTAGAACCAGTTTCACATATTAACTGCCTTTTATCCCAGAGTCTTATTGAGAAGTCCATTGCAACAGGATTATGCTGATGTCCAGCTCTCTAGTTGTCCGATTTCCTGATGCGGTTGGGAGAGTTGTGCAGTTATGACTCCTTGGTTACTATTTTGTGCTCTCTCATGTGGCAACATTAAAACAGTTAAAATAAAATAGTAATTATGCTATAAAAAAAAACTTAATAGGCCCTATAGCCTGTGCAAGTATTTGTATTTGGCTAATATTGATTCATTAATTATATTGTAGATTATGGTATGTAACACAAATGTTGTGTGGATTTGTTTATTTTAGAAATAAGAAGTGGATTCCAGAAGCTACTTTGGAAGGAGAAGCATTTAGGGACAGAAAAAGTCACTTGAATAAAGTGATTGCAGATTGTCTTAATTCACTGCACCCAGTGTTCTTAGCAAAAGTATTACACCCCGTCTTAGGAGGAGGGGAACCATTTTCACAATTGATGTCTCTCACCCCCCAAAAAAACTCAGACATTTCCAGAACCTAATCAGATGGCAGGGGGGGGGGGGGGCTCCATAGAGTCAAGAGCTTCCTTAGCTTCCCAGACACACCCTTGGTCGGCTAGTGAGACGACTCTTCCCACAATTGTCACATGGAAGAAAAAAATTATGATACTAATTTTGCGACGTCCGAAGCAGAAGCGCAGGTTAGTTCAGGGCACTACCCACAAAATATGAAACAAAAAAACAGTTTTGTATTAGGTGTCCTAACCTACCAGCAGGCCATGAAGACAAACAGAAGATGACCATATCGAAGTGGAGAGAGCAATCAAAGTCAAATTCATAATAAAACAAATTAAAATTCAGTTCAGAAAAACATGCTGAGAAAAGTGTCTTAACTGACAGGCATTTCAATGATTGATCAATCACAGCTCTGTCTTTGGTAGCTAATTAAATCCGTAACCCCCCTCAAATAGAACTTTTTTTTAATTGCAAAGACTTATTACACATTGTTCGCGTCATTAAAAAGCCTTAACCCATCATAAAAGATTCATCTAGAACACTGACATCTATCCAGTTAACAAGAAACCCATTAGATAAACAGTCTCCTTCATCTCACTCAGTCTGTCATACAGGGTTGGGGCCAGTCATCACTGAGGTTATGGCTTACACAATACCAGTCAAACGTTTGGAAACACCACGCTAATGTGACAGTGTTGAATCACATGACCTGGCCACCTGACCTAAATGGTAGAAATGGTTTTGGAGTAGTTTGACCAGGGAGTGAAGGAAAAGCAGCCAATGAATGCTCAGAATATATATGGGACATCCTTCAGGACAGCTGGAAAAGCATTCCAGGAGTTCACCTCATGAAAAAGGCTTAGAGGAGAATGTAGGGTCAGCTAGTCCCTGGAGCAATTGGGGCTAAAGGCTTCTCTCAATGGCCTAATGGTGGAATCACTCTGCCGACCCAGGGATTTGAACCAGCAACCTTCAGAGTCCCAAACCACAAAGGTGCCTCCCAGCTTTGATGTCATTAGAATTCTAAAATATAGAGATTAGTACAAATAAACATTTCTATGGGTGGGTATGTCCAAATTTTTGACTGGTACTATACATATAAAACATGTTTGGGTTTTCAAGTGACACGAAATGTAGGCAACAGCAGGCATCGCTCTATCATTGTTTAGCACACTCCACTAATAACATTCAGCTTAGGGTACAGACTTGACTCAAAATGGTACAACTATTAATAAAATGGGAACCGAATCAGCATCAGCACAACAAACTTCATACATTTATTCCATTGTTCTCCAGCAGACATCACTTATTGTGCTTGGCTTGATGTCTCCAGCAGACAGCATGGAGGCTTCAGAGCTTGGCAGCTCCATTTCTGCTTCGTCCGCCTCTCTGTTCTGCATGTGAAATATGAAAAGGTTCTACCACATCTCCTTGGCACGGATGCACGGGTCGCTATCGATCTAAAGGACGTTGCCAGCACTATGGCTGCAGATAGACTCGATTCAGTGGATGGGTCCTCTGGAATTATTTCGCTGTCAAAACAGAGAATGAATTCATCAGTAACTCAATCGCTTTTCCATGGAAACTGGGCCATCAGCCAATGGGTGAGTCCCCCCCCCCGTCACACACACACACACAGTGTTTCCAAATGTTTATTTTAACAACTCCACTCGGACAAATTAGGTTCTTTTCCCAGGAAATTTACTACTATTATTTACAAGAACTATATAATATCCCGTTTACAAAGTCATACAGCATTACAACAATATATTAATAGAAACCCAAATATCGGATGAAATTCAGGCAATGAATCACCAGTACAGAAAAACAGCAAAAATGATCTATAGAGCATCCATCTGTATACTGTTAATACTGGTGCTGTATGCTGTTTTTATTTCTTCATTTTTCAAATCAGCCCAATTTCGAAATGATTAATCCCTAGTCCTTAAGCGTAAGAAGTGTTTATCAGCAGATACTGGAGTGCTGCGAAGAGAGAGGTATGTTGTACATTATGTGTTTTGAAATGGAGAACAGCTAACAGAGATGGTACACACTGAACATCAAGCGACCCTAATCCCTTCAACACCTTCAGCCATGGACAAACAGCCATCTGCATGTGTGAATCCTAATATTCGGTGTGAGGTTTACTAATGTATACATGTGCTTGCACTCAGCTGAAGCTAAAGAGAAATATTAAAGTTAATAGAACCATAAAAATGCAGTTAAATGAGACTCCCAGGGGCCATCACAAGGGTTAATCTTTCATTCATTTTCACAAAGGAGAAAAGGCACCAATGTCTTTACGTTCCTCCAAGGTGAAAAACAAGATGCCTACAGTGCGATAATGAGACTTGCTGCCTGGACTCACAGTTCTCAGACCCTTCATGTTTGAAATCTGACAGAATGCTCAGTCGAGCCTAAAAATAACAGATTTCTTTAGGGCCCGGGAATTCAGCTTTGCGTTAAGCACTAGGAGATCAACAGCTTCTTCTTCCTGACCTCCAGTGATCATTGGAACTTCTCACGCAACTCATCCTCTGTTTTCTTTCAAACACAGTTTCTTATTCTCAATAGCGATTATAGGGAAACCAATTCAGACAAAAAAAGTATTTAAAATGAAGATACTCAGTATTTCCCTCGGAAATTAAAAGAAAGTAACATGAGGAGGAGCATCTGGTAACATTATGCAGAAGAACAAAGACCGCAGCAGAACACCAAGGTTTGTTGCTGAATACAATCATAAAGGTGACTCAGAATAAGGTATTAAATAAGAAGCACAGTAAAATTATAATCAGGAACGAGGAGTAGGGGGCTGAAATCCACATGCTAACAGGAGGGTGCTTATCACAATGTCACACAAGGTCACAGAGTACACTGCTGTTTACAAGTGCCCCCACCCGATCCTGCAAAATGCCCAGCTGCGGTTTAATTGGATGCAGAAAGAAAAGCACCGTGACACCGGTGTGCTTGCAGAGAGGCACCCATCTACATCACTGTTAGACTGACACGTAGACAGTGGCATTGGGTCAGAATATAATCTGGCACAGAAGAATGGCCTCCTCAGAGACGGAAATGAAGCAAAGTCAGTTTCATTATGAGAGCAGGAGAGCCTTCGTCTAAAGATCCACGGTGACCTTGCTTCAATTGGATTTAATGTTGTGGTATTATATTGCAGCAGGTAGGCAGGGGTGGAGGGGGGTCATAACGAAGACGAAACAAAAAGCTCCCAAATAAGGTTGGATGCTGAAACAAAGCAAACAGCCCTGGGGGGGGGGGACTTATAGTGGGTCAGCCGGAACCAGTAACAACACACTGACGAGAGAAAGGAAACTCTAAATCCAGGTCACTGTTGGAGGAAAGTGACCCTCAGCCCTGGTGCTGAGGTGCTCCAGACTGCGAGGAGAGCTTAAATCCCAACACATATGGCCAGGCAAAAAGGGGGTGCAGCCAAGGTCCCACAGAGTTTAAAAAAGGAGGAAAGAAGAAAAACAAACCCTCTATCACTCGTTCATGGAAACTAGTTTCCATGGGCAGCTGCCTTGCAGACGCCACGCTAACACAGACAGCTAACAGTTTGTTTCTCATTAATGTTTGTTTCTAGCTATGAGGCATTAGCGGCTTTCACTGTGAATCATCACTCGATCTCACCAACGGTGAAAGGGATATTGCAGGAAGGCTTCATTTGTACCCTGAGGTACACTGGTCAAGAGGGAGAACAGAGGGGATCGAAAAAGCAATCACGTTCTTTCATTTCGACCACTGTGACAAATTCTCCTAAAAAAGCTCTTGGAGCGAAACGGGAATTTTTGTGAGCGCCCATGGCTTGGCCTCTTAGAGCACTCCGTCAGTCGCGGCACGTTTACTAACTGCTAATGTACCCCTGCGGTTTTCGGGATACCGCATTGGAGCCAAGCCTCGTAATCGCTGCCCGGGCTCACAGCAGTAGTTGGACAGAAGCCCCAAACGGGACTTTGCGCACGGCTTTAGCCAGTGCCTTCAGACCAGAACAAGGATGGGATCACACACACAAGCAAGCCTCAAAGTGACCAAATGCAGCATGCATGGGATAAGAAGAGTTTCTCTGCTGCCTTCATGCAGGTATTAGGACTATAACTTGTGCAAGACAACATGTATTCAGGGTTCGTACACATTTTTACCATTACATTTCCATGACTTTTCCATGACTTTTCCATGACTTTTCCATGACTTTTCCATGACTTTTCCATGACTTAAAGGTAAATATTCATGACTTAATAAACAGTAGTTCTGAGGCACTCACAAGGAATATAAGTTTTAAAAGCCTTTATTTAAACTTGGCTATCCATTAAAAACATGCCAACATGTTTCAGCCTCTGTGGCCTTCTTCAGGGCAAAAAAATGCTGTTAAATTTGGTGCTTTGCACCTTTAGCATGGCTAGATAGCGCTGCTTCTCCCATGTTCGAAATGTCGAACGTTTTATGGCAAAGTCTACATTTTGCTCGTCCCGGGTCCTGGTCTTTCTCAAGCCATGCATTATACTTTTCAGATTGAAGCCAAACATTATTAAAGCGACATTTTCCCGGCATTGTTTATTTTTGCTCAGCTGCAACTGAGTTGCCCCAAGCAGAGAACATGTCACGTGATCCCTGTCAGCACAAGTACGTAGGCAATACGTCGCATAAACGGCGGATGGTCGCATTTGGATCGCGTTCCATTACGAAGCATCGCGTTTTATTCGCGAAAACGTCGGATCGTCGCGGTGTTGAAAAGTGTTGCTCGCTTAAAAGCCCAATGTGCAAATGACTGAAAAGCTACTAAATACCGACCTTAAAAAAACTTATCAGCGACGTAGCGCCGACGTACTTGTGCTGACTGGGATGTGACTGATCGCCCGAACGAAAAAATTATTGCAATTTGAAAACCAATATTATCAATTGAACAAATTCAAGTACACAGATATTTTTGAAAAACAAATTTCCATGACTTTTCCAAAACTTTCTGAGTTTATTCATTTTCCAAAACTTTTCCAGGCCTGGAAATTGCCATTTTAAAATTCCATGACTTTTCCAGGTTTTTCATGACCGTACGAACCCTGTGTATTAGTACAATGCAGTTGGGGGCTATTCCCAGTAGTATCAAGTAGTTAAGGAAACCAAGCTGGAAGTAAAACTGAAATATCCATAGTGAGACAGTTCTGTCCAGAAGGCCATTCAGGGGCCAAAAGGACAACAGTAGGAAATACAGTGACTATACAGTAATCAAAGTGCTGCAGATCTCTTCTTTGTACAAGTAATTTCTAACTATGTAGAGAACTGGTCTTACTGTTCTCTGATGAACCTGTGGAGAGAAGGCCTTTACCATAATTAGCCCCAGCAAGTGACAAACGTTGCACCAAATTAACCCTAAAGCTTGAATAATGCAATTCCAAGAAAGAGAAATTGTGCTTAAACTTAGTATAAATGCAAACAGTGCAAAACCGAAATTTATGCTAAAAGAAACTTAAGACAGGCGGTCTGATGAGACATGGGAGGGACAGGGGTTATGCAGAATGAAACTTCCAAAATCAGAATCCCTTGGGGGACACAGAGGCAAGTTAACACCAGCTGTAATCCTAACTGGCATGCTCACCTTCACCCTTTTCATGCGTTAATAATTTGATTTGAGGCTGTATATATTTGTAACAAATCATTCATGAAAAGAGCGACAACTCGATGATGAAGATGTGTCAGATGACAAGGGCTTATGAAAGAACATTCTGTGCTCATTGATAAGGTGACTCACCCCTCATTGCCATGGGGAAGGGGTGACGGGTGCTCAGGCACACAGAATCGCCACGCAAAACCCAGGCCTCTTGATCACACAGCTGAAGTACCTGTTTAGCTAATTTTAGCAGGCTAATTTTATTTACTCAACTTATACTAAACACAAGTGTCTTCACTTGCTACAGCAATTCTTCAACTGAGTTAAGACGTGCACAACCAACACGAAGATATAAAAAAGAGACAAGGTACACTTTCATACAAATCTGTGATTATTTGACAGAAGCTCTAATAGTGTCATCAACAGGGTCTCTCTGCCTAGAGGGAAGGTGACAGATTTCTCCTGCAGATCACCAGGTTGCTGACATTATACAAGATTATCATGCTCAGCATTAGAATGGTGTTTGATAAAAAGTTTCAGAATTTATTTTTATTGATATGGAAACTGTTCTGCAGAATTACAAGAGTCCATAAACATTTATGTGCCTCCCAGTGAAACATAATATCCAAGGGCAGGAATTCCCCTTATAGAGGGAAAAAGGGGGACTTGCAGAGTTATTTGATCCCAAACTCTGTTCCCACCTCCCCTAAAGAAAGTGCTGGAAAATTGCCCAGGAACCCAGAAGCAAGATGTGGGAATGTCATTCTGGTACACATATATGCAATCAAATGTGAGAAAACACAGAAAAAAACAGCCATGCTTTTCTGAGGGGAGTCATGGTGGCTATTTTTTAAGCCTATTCATTTTAGCCTGTAGGTTTAATACTGACATTAAATTCTGAGAGTACTGGGATTGCTCTTTATCAGTAACACAGCAGAGCTGTGTCAGCACACAAGGCTGAAATATATGTAAACCTTCAGGGTGTCATCATGGGGGATTTTGTCCACAGTCTTAGTTCATAAACTGGATGTCCATCCTCCTTCTTCATGATAATCCCAGACACACTTACCTGTATTTCACCAGGTAACACACATGCATGTAACTGTCAGGATATACAAGTGTGGGTAAGTAGATTATTTAAGAAATATTAGGATTCTTTATTCAGGATGTCTGAGATTTATTACATGTTGAATGAAGACTAAAAAATATTTCCAAAAAATACATACTGTATATTGGAGTTACTAAATTGCCCAATGGTGTGAGTGTGCCCTGCAATGGGCTGGCCCCACTGTCTTGGGTTGTGCCCATAGCTTCTGGGATAGGCTCTAGACCCCCCACAACCCAGAAGGATAAATGGATGGTTACATATATTCAAAAAACATATAAACACCATTAGGAGCTCACCTAGACAACCCTATGCACAGAGAGCTAAAGTCAAAACTTGACAATCTATTTCAAAGAAATACACTTAAATCTACTTATTTGTTTTTCCATCTATCCACCTGTGTTCATACCTTTTTTCTTGGTGAGTACCATTGTCAGCCCTAACGTCTTGTTCCAAGTCCATAGACTGTAGCTCAAGGGTCTCTAACCTTTTTTTACAGTGAGAGGTACTTCTATACAGAAATTAAAGTGGAGGGGGAGGCACACCCTTGGTGTGTGGGGGAGGCAACAGTTAAATTAATCCGATCCATGACTGTTACACTAGCTACTCATTTGCTCCGTGTGGGCTAGTAGTAGCTTGCAGTCAAAGTGTTGCCAACCAGTACTCTACCTCCTTCTGAGGGAACCCCAGATATTCCCAAGCCAGCTGGGAGATATAATCCCTCAAGAGTGTCCTGGGTCTGCCCCTGGGACTCTGCCCAGCCAGAAGTGCCCAGAACAGCCAACCACGTGGCATCCTAATAAGACGTCCAAAATACTACAGCTCACTCCTCTCGATCCAAAGGAGCAGTGGCACTGTTTTGAACTTGCTCCGGATCTCCATACTCATACAAAGAGTCCAGCAACACTACTGAGAAAACTCACTCTAGCTACATAAACTTACGACCTTGCCCCTCGTCCTTCAAATCTTACCCACACTGCTAACAATCCGGAAGGCTCTCATTAGCCTTTCTGGTCACAGCCTTTAGCCACAGTGCATCCTAGTCTCACATCACAAAACTAATTGCATAGGTATTTCCAATTGGCCAACAGCTCACTATAAGAAGAAAGCATTTAACACAGCTTATGCCCCCTAGCATTTCATGGCACAATAATTCAGATAAGAGCATAAAAAACAATTAGCCAATCATATCATCACATCACTGTTTTATACCGCAAAGATTTGGTTTGGGCTTGGGGTTGGCATGCAGGTCACAGAGGGTGCACGTCTCCCTCCAAACTTAGAATAGCAATGCATCATAATTCAATGCATCATTCTACCTATTAGACCAAGCATGAGAAATGATATTTACATGACATGGCACTCCCAGAAGGACAAGCAAGACTCAATGCTTTAACGACAAAAAATGTGAAACACCATTGATCAAAAAATGAATTATACTACATTCTTTTGTCTGTATATGAGGTGGTAACGTAAGGTATATTTTTAAAAAATGTCCTTATTTATGGGAACAGCTGCCTCCTGGGAAGATATGGGGGCAGATGTTCGGGGGACTGATGATTATCATGGCCTCCTGTTAAGCACTGAAGACTGCATGCTCCAGGACAGAAATGGATCTCTTTAGTACAGTACCCGCCTTCCTCCAACCACAATGTTATTTTTAAAAATTATTATTTTATTTTTTATTTTTTTGACTGTGATTGTTCTGTATTTAAAACAAATGCAAATAAATATATTTGGGGGAAAAAAAAAAACTATGTTATTTTACTATGTATACAGCTTTACTACAGAAATTCAGATTAAGCAACTTAAAAGGTATTTTCATTCCTGTCCTTAATTGCAGCATCTCCTTCCCTCCATATCAAACAGATGTCTAATAATTATTGACCATGGTCTTATCCTATTATTAAACCTGGTCTTGTCATAACACTTACAGAAGAAGTGCCACATTAAGGGCATGGAGACCATAGCACAGGGGTGTCAAACTCCATTCCTGGGGGGCCGGAGCCCTGTGTAGCTTAGCTCTTTCCCTGTTCCACCACAAATGATTCGGCTTAAGAGCTGTGTGATAATTAGCACAAGGAGTTGAATCAGGTGTGTTAAATGAGGGGAAACCCAAAAATGTGCAGGGCTCCGGCCCTCCAGGACTGGAGTCTGACTCTCCTGCCCTAGTAGATTCAGGGAGTTCGGCGCAACAACTTAACTGGGCCTTTCAATATGTAAAACTTTAAAATTATATAATGTAAGAAGGTTAGGTAGGGTTGGGTGGGGCAGGCAATGTGAAATTTTGTCTTGGGGCCAAAAATCTCTAGCTACACCCCTGTACAGAAGTACATGCTGCTGTATTATTATCAATACCATTCTTACGTCATTGCCCGCATTTAAATAACAGCTGATCCAAACGTTTTTTTTTTTTTTTAAAAAGTGTAGTTTCTCCATTCGTGCTAGATTAGGAACTCTTGCGTAATACTGCATGACAACGCGACGTTTTGGCGCGCTTTTCCGTTCCCCGAAGCCTCATTAACGCCCTCGTCCAGTGGCCTGTACTACGAAGCGGGGTTACTGGCTTATCGCGTTAAGTTGTCGGATTTAAGGTACCACAGTTTAAATGAACTTAATATTCCTTCGCTTACATTTTGCCCAGACTACCTTAAATCCGACAAGTTACCCCGATAAGCCAGTAACCCCGCTTCGTAGTATAGGCCACAGGTCTCGAAAAAATAAATAAATAAATAAATCTGGATGTAATAGATGAAGCGACAGTAAATTGATTCCATATTATTAGCGCTTTCAGTGTTTCGTCACTGAAAAAAATATAAACAAGCTGATCACAGAAATTACATTTTAATCGTGTCTCACTTAAAGTAATACCGGATAGTACAAAAGCGTCTGTTCTGTGAACTTACACGTAATAAAGGCAAAGCAGGACATAAATATGGATTTCGTTTTCTTAAAATATAGAAGGCACTCCGGGAACTTGCCAAAACACCCTCAGATAGCTTATATACCGGAGATGGCAGAGGTGTATGCTGGGTTTCGTTTAAAATTTCCACAGATACCAATCAATTTCACCTGAAAAAAACATGTTCCTGTGCAATAATAGTTTTAAGTCGTGCTTCTGTATTGATTAAAACTCGATTGTCGACTCTTGTGTCTCACTCAAAGCCCTCGAACTGGCGGACAACAGTAATAACAATAATTTTGTTCACATTTACAGTGAACTATATTACAGGTAATGGATCGTTTTATATAGGATGCCTCCGCCGCCCGGGGAAGTGAAAGCTGAGCAGAACAGCTACACAGGCCGATGTACGGCAGTACATCCGTTTTATTGCTCGGTGTATCCCGCTTTTTATGGTTCTAAAAAGCACATGTCTCCAGATCTCCTTTCCCCATGTGTGGCCAGTTTAATTACCAGGAAAGATATCAACAGTGAAGTTCCCCATATCGTAGTGAAAACATCCTGCCTCCGTTCCCTCAGCACAACAGTTTTGAGTTGTGTGTTTTACACAGAATTACAAGTATGTCGTTCCTGGCACCATCGTGATTAAATTACTTACCCGTGACTGAAGCAACACATACAGGGATACTCGATGACAGTCGTGGCTAAACAGTAGGTCTCATTACAGCCCACTAAAATCGGGTTTAATTGAATTGACGAGGTAACTTTCAACCTGCCAAAGTAAGATGTAATTTTCACTAAAAAGCTCGCGTGCTATTGACAGCACAGCTCGCTGGGTGTCACGTGTCTTTTTCCGACCTTGACTAACTAAATTACGATTAACTGTTTTAATATGAAATTACCTGTAAGGTAAAGCACTCCTACAGTATATACTTTGAGAACTAACAATAACTAATATCATTTTTCCTTAGCTTCTTGAAAATAATATGTGTTAAACTTAATGCACATAACTATCACGTATCACCCAGTGCAATTAAATGATCTGTTTATTGACGTGATCTGGCCCTAAAGACGTGAAAAGATACTTAGAGGCACATGTTTAAAGGAAAACGTATTTGGGTGTAAACTAAACAGGGGTAAGTAATGGGCATCTTATATGCTGTGCTGTAGGGAACTTTTGTAAAGCCTCAATACCCGTTTCCATAGTGCAAAAAGTGTTTGGGTGAGTGAATTCACACTGGTTCCATTCAGGTACTATTACAATTAAGACGTAGGTTGAGGCAGTTTGTGTAAACCAAATATTCACTTAGCATCTAATTGCATGCCTAGAGTGCCAAAGCTGGCAAGGGGGGTGTCATTCCTCACACCTGGCTTTCACACTGCTGCGAGCATCCTGTTTCAGTCTTAAACAGTCAGCCACATTCCCGGGACCTTTTTTTGGTGCCCTGCCACAATGTACAGTGTTGTGCTCATGATCCTTTGATAGACAGCAAAGGTGCCATCGTACTTAAGGAAAGGGATTTGTAGCCAAAACATTACCAGTGCAAGACAGAGGATGAGCTTGCAAAAGTGAATTAAGTGAGAGGTAATTTCGGTGACAACAGTCATTTTAAATTCATACCAAACTCCACACTGTTTTCTGCATATTCTAGTAATCTGAACTTCTACCTAGGTGTTCCCTGTTAATTCTGATCCGAGCGTCTTGCCCAAATAGGCTGCCATCCTGATCTGACGCCCCATTCTTTTACGACTCCCATTCCTCCCCATTCCAGAGGAGGACAGCCCTCCGACCACCCGATATTTCCGGCACTCTCTACGAAGGCCGCAGCGTGTGGCTGTTAGAGGTTGCACTTACTGACTCCCACTAGTCTGCGGCCTCAGGGTGTTTGATTTCAAAGGCTGGTTAGCTGTGACCGCCTGGCGCCGCTCATTCGACACCAGAGCCTAGGCACCAATTGACCCCCCCTAACCTCTATTTGAGGAAGCTCTTCGGAGGAGATGAATTAGGATCTCGACTGACAAGCTTGGCTTGCTGCGTTAAGTGGACCACCTGAACCCACAGCTCACTGATGGTCTAGGGAGCAGATGCCACACGGACATAATTTGCACTTTGTGTTTTTTTTCCCCTTCCTTTTGATTTGAGCTGGTTTTGGAAGACTTAATGCATTATGGGCAGGGGGGTTAGCCAAATTCCACCCCATTCACTGAGATGGTAGCAACCCCCAGGAGCCTGAAGAAGGTGTTTATAGTTGGAGACCCAGGGGCTTGGACACATTGGCAGGCTCACCAGCACCTTCTGGGATGATCCTGACCAATCCAGTCTTGGTTGGGAGGGTGGCTGTAGGTAGCATTTCCTTGTGCAACACCTTCAGAGGATTACACTTTGGTCTAAATTGCATGCAGGCCAGCAATGTGTCAACTTGACATTCACTGAGCCGTGATAAATGCTGGCACAAGCAGGCACAGGCCTACCTGGATTTGGAAATCAGGTCAGCTCTAATGGTGCACATAAGGGCCGGTCTGTATTGAGTCCGCTATTACATTAAACAAAAGATGTTACATCAGCGCAAGCTCCCAATGTGACGGATGTGACTAGCGTACAGTCAGGGGGAGAGAGTGGAGTGCGTTTTTTTTTCCGTGGCTCCTACGACAAGCCAGTTACCTCATAACCCAAGGTCACACGTGTACCTTTCTGTGTCTCTCTTTTGCTTCTTTTCCTCCATCTTTTCCATGAGGACTGCTCATGGTGCATCCCGTAGATGACATTCCATCCCGCTGACGAAAACATTTACATTACATGTCATTTATTTAGCAGATGCTTTCTATTCAAAGAAACGTACATTTTTTTAAGAAAGCAAGGTCAGATGGGCCCTGAAGTAAGCCCCTTGCTCAGGTGCCCAATGGTGAAACCCTGAGATTTGATCCATCAACCTTCCAGTCACAGGCATGGTGGCCTAAATCACTGAGCCGCAATCAAAAGAGAAAGGAGACAGTTGAGGGGAGGATGTGTTCATGAGATGACTTCCAGGGTCAAGCAGTTTTCATTGTCTTTTCAGTCTCTATATCTCTAGATAGGCAATACCACCTCTTTGAGGAGCCGCAACACACTGGGAAAATTCACAGATGTAATTCCATTTATAATTTATTAATCAAATTGTCGCTGTGCGTGGAAATGAGAAAATAGGTCAAAGACTGCGGTCTGTCATATGTGAATTATTCATAAATGGAATAAGAAGAAATTTGGTGTCATTTCCCATCAATTGCCACATGGGCACCTCGCTGTTTTTTTTCAGGAATATAATGGAGTACTCAGCTACTGAAACGTTTGGACCCACTCAATCTCCTGTAAACACAATTCCTTGGATGAGGTCTTGTGTCAAGGTATCACTGCATCCGAAAACAGCCGCATATTGTCGGTGCTCTCCTTTTAATTTCAGAAAAGGTCTTCTGCCCCAAATTAGGTATGCTGTGCATTCTGGGCTGGACACTGGCACATCATCCTCAATTTGGGGCTCAAGGAATCACCCCAGTTGTCCAGAAGAGGTCGCAGATCCCCCCTAGGGAAAGAAGGGAGAGTTTCACAGGAAATATATTTTAAACATCATAACCTGCAGGATGAAGGTATCACAAGGCTGGAGCAACCAAACATAACAAAGGTTTTCAACCTGTTGTTCACAAGCCCTTTTAGCTAACACCTGTTTTTTATCTGTTATTTATCCATCATTTCATTTTTCACTCATCTTTCATCTGCCCACACCTGGTTGTGCTCATGTTTGACACAGGCACAATCATCCTCTTGATTAGCTCATTCTGACATTGAATTGCGATCCACAATTTCCGTTGCATTGTCAAGCATAAAAATAGCACCTTGCTATTTCTCTCCAAAAGACAAGAGGCACACAGGGTTACTGCTGCAACAATAAAATAAATAACACACCGTCCAAATGTAGAAATAAGCAGAACCAGCGGAACAGAGTCGAGAGCGTGGTGTAGGTGTATGTCTGCCTTGATGCGCTCTGCCGTTTGGTCTCATCAGCATTCATTTCCACAGACGGCTCTCGGGGAAGGCTGTGTATCTATGGACAGCAAGGATGATTATGAAACATCTGAACCAACTGAAACGAAAAAGCACACTTTATTGATTCAAAGAAGTTCACTGAATGTATTAGTCTGAGTAGTTTTTTTTACTGGAATTTTATTTACCAGGAAGGCTTTTGTATCAAAATGATCTTTTTGTGGGCTTGTTTACTTGCCCTTATCTCGCTTTCAGAGCTTTTTCCTGCAGTCTGGGTCAGCTTCCTATTTTGAGATAGACTCTTGTTCTCTGAAGGCTTCGTGCTTTTTCCTTTCAGTCATGCTCCCAGTCTCGTTCACTCATTCTGCATCTCGATTATTAAAAATGTTTTCACCACCCGCTCCCCCACCCCCAAAGAAAATGGGTGTGATCCTCCCCCAAAGCTGAAGCCATTCTTGCATTCTTGGCTGCTCCCTCATGGGTCATAAATGAAGCGATTAGCTCTCGGCAGACGGAATCCGCCAACTCCTTCAGACGCCAGTTAAGAGACATCGGGTGTTCGGCAGAATAGTCACGTCACCATTGGGCCCTTGAACAAGGCATTCTAATGTACCTGCACTCCTGCTTGTGCAAATAGCAAACAAAGCAGGATTTCATTTCAGAGGTGTAGAGTCTCCATAAAGTGGAACCTGCTGCAGCTCAGTCAGAATCTATCCGATCCAACAGCTCACAGAACACTAGTTTCTTCTGGTATGCGTTTGTGTAAGTATTTGTTCAGTGTTCTGCATGAGCCAATGAGGAAGGGCCCCCTGTAACAGCCACTCTCAGTGAGCAGTCAAGGGAGCAAAATTATATTAAATATTTTTGCCTGAAAAGAGTTCATAAAGAAAAAAGACATGAGGCTTAATCCAAAGCACCAGCACCCTGACCGAAATCTCAGCAGGGGTCACAGACAGCGTACCAACTTCCCCTTCATTTCAGTTAACGCCACCAATGTGTAAATTTGGTTCAAAGCCACTAGGGGGCGCTGTCCTGTTCCTTTGCTATAGCTGTCAGTGTCATAGTAGAAGAACAGCATGGGCCACACATGACCTGAGGCTTTCTCTACAGAGCCTCTCATGTTGGGCTTTGGGAGTATAACTCAAACAGAAATGACATCTTCTGAACTTTACAAAAGAAAGCAGTGGGACAGCAGGACTCTCTCTAAAGTATGGCCACAAGACTGCGCCTCTGGAAAGACAGTGGGAAAGAAACATCATGCAGTAAGACCTACTATCTGTGCTGCCAGGTTACAGCCAAGCATTGAAGGACAAACGCGCAGGCCTGTAGCAAGACATACATTTCATGGAGTGTCTGGCTAGGGTTCCCCCCCCCCCAGTAGGGGGGGGGGGTTAAATTTCGTGGAGGGGTTTCAACCTTGTAATTTTGTTACCTGTTCCATGTGGCTGCAAACTCAGTGATGTGGGAAAGAGCTGTTCATAATCTGTTGGACACAGATGGGAATTTTAGTATCTTTTTTCCTTTTACACACATCGCAAACATATGAGCATTTGTCATTTTTTCCTGGAAAACTCAGCGGAAGGGAACATGAGCGTTTGCATTTGGCTGTCATGCAGTCGCACACAAGATCCACAGCTAATTATGCGCAAACTCCGCGTCGAAATTCCAGCCGACGCTGAGGCCCTTGCAGCGAGGAGACGGGGAAGATATTCTCCCTCGCTCTGAAAGACACGTCGCCGGCGCATTGCCATGGAGACAGCGGCACGAGGGAGGGGCCACGGCGCCATTGGCTGGGCCCCTGGCTGGCAGGCCGTGAGCCGCGGATCGGAACAGAACAGAACGACCACAAAGGAGCATGAGGGAGAAGTGGAGGGGGGGGGCTCTAGGGGAGAGTCTCCCGAAAACACGTCTCTCTCACGGTGCCGGGACCCAGGCATGCATCTGCCGGTGAGAAAAAAAAACGTGCACAATGCCCCCATCAACACCGCTCTGTCATCCTGCAGCAGATGGTGCCCCCCCCCAGTCCCCCCCATCTCTGTCACGCTCATCCGGCGAGAAGGTTAAAAACTGCGAGAATGTGGCTGCCACCAGCCCCGCATGCGACTCGCCCATCTCGCTGCGGCGGGACCGCGGCCCCCGGCCCTGCTTATCGGCAGGGATCTCAGGTCGCCCTGTATTTTCCCGAACAGGAAGCGGGGGCGCCGGGCTGGTCAGCTCTGAAAAGCGAGCCACTCCTGAGGGGTCGGGGACTGCAGGGGAGGGGCTCCCAACCCCAACTGCCCCCCCGCCCAGGAAGGGCCAGACGCAGGCTGGTCACAGGCGGCAGTCCGTCTGCCGTGCTCACGGGCCGGGAAGTCGGGGTTCGCTATGGGGTCAGGGGGAAAGAACAATCCGGAAAGGCTGGCTAGTGGTGCTGAGCCCAGCCTATCCAATACAGCATTTTCATTCCCAGCCACAAATAGTAACACACCACTGCCAAGAATCTACAATTTTCATTTCCTTCATTGAATTTTCATTCCTCCTTTTTAGAATTTTAGAATTTTGCCGTTTTCTGTTTACGTGGTTGTGTTGCGGTCTATGCTGCTAGCATTTCTGAAAGGCATCATTCCACAGAGAACAGTGAACATGGCTGCGATGCTGGAGGCATCCGTGGGTTAAACATGCAATGCAGAATCAGACTGGTGATGAATTACATCGATCTAGCAGCATGGTTGTTTTTCTTCTTTTTATAAAAAGCTGTGGAGTGTCTTTTTTTGTATTTAGGGAGTCGCAAATCAAAGCAGAGAGAGTTTTGGGCCAGTAATCTGAAACTGGGGCAGTAGATACAGTAACAGAAGCATTCCCATCTCGTCCACAGCTTCCCCAATTGAAACCTGAGCGTGATAACGCTCCTTTGGTGAAGTTGTGATAATATCTGGGGCTGATAGAGTTTTATGATCATGTCTGTACTCGGGAAAATAATGTGGGCAATTTATGAAAATCTCTTTGTGCTATAATCCCAAGGACAGCTTGTAAGTACAGAAGTGGGTCAAAAAATGTTATTTGTCTGTATTAGTCAGACACGTTATTAATTCGCAAAAACATTGTTGATGACCTGCATTTATTCTATGTCTTGTTGTATTAGCTGACCTATTACTGCTGTTATTGCGGTAACTTGTTTCTGAAAATACCCAGCAAAACTCTGTCCATGATCTGACAGCAAACTCATGAAACGTATAAGCAGTTATCACAATGAGAGGGCACAGTGGGTGTCCCTGTCAGTTTTCAGAAGGGGGGAGTCCCACAGAACATGTACCTCACACTATGAAGAGGAAAAATTTAAACGTGCTGTGACAAGCACATTTTGAACATCAGGACAAGGAAAGCGAGCTGTGAGACTCATCCCTAACCTGCTCTAATCAGCACTGGGAATTTATGAGAAAACTGCTGCACAATGTGTTTGCATGCCAAATGGAAAAGGTGCGATTTCTGGATGAAGCAAGTGTGGGTCGAAACAAAATTAGCTCGAAATAACCAGCGGGACATCTTACTACTAACATAATACTACTTACAGTTTATGCAGTGTATCCCTGAAGATGAAATGGAGCATTAAAAACATCATTTTAGAGATTTAAGTGAGTTTCCAGGGTAAAAATTCTGCAGATGGAACAGAAGTCACATGACTCTCTTTGTCTCTTCTGAGAAAAATAAGAAACATATAACACACACTTCAGAAGGACAAAGGAGTCACTTGAAAGCACTGGGATTGTGACACATAACAAAATGAACACCCGAGACACTAAGAGGCCTGAGTTTGTGGCAATTTTGCCCGTGAACAGCCTTCTCTCGGGTTCTGACACTACTTATTACTGTTATTTTTCTGTCAGGATTGTCCCAGAGCTTTCTGTCACAGGGCGAATGTCTTTGTCTGTTTTCATGCACTAGTGGCAAAGACCACTTCAGACCAGACCGAGTTTATCTCCCCACACGCTTGATTTTCAGATCACCGCGGCAAACCGTCATTCCACCCACCGCAGCTGGGACTCAGCTCCAGCCGACACGACTGGATAATCGCACCTCACTGACAAATAAGTCCTTCAAATTCTGTAAAGGGACTAAAGCAGAATTTATGGTGGTTTTCTTGTAGGTTTAGAAGTTGTGGCCTGGATCCAGGGACCGTCTGTCAAGTTTGGTGAGCTCTGCTGAGGCCTGGATATAGTGTCAGTTTTTTTCTTCTTAAATGCTGATACATGAGGGCCTCAGTACAGCTGTTCCAGGGTGTGAAGAACTCAACTTTCATAAACCACATGCGCATTTGTCTTTTACTACCCAAATTTGATCTGCCCATATAAAATGGATTAGGTGCAGCAGAGGCTGCTTTAGCACGGTGCTTACTGCTGCAGCAGTGTTTGCTCACTGCGTATTCCCCCACACCCCGAGCTCACTTCCTTTTAGGGACCTTCTGGGTGTGTTACGATTGTATGTCCGGCATGCCGAGATGCCGACTCCCTCACGAAGGAGGAAGGGGGGCATCCGTGCCCGTCTTAAGGGGCGTGTCTGCGCCACATGCCACCGGCTCTCTCCTCACGCTGAACCCGACAGGAAGAGGATGGCAAAGAGTCCCCCTGTTTTCCAGAACATTCTAGGCTATGAAAACAGCATCCATATCAAAAGTGTAGAAAGACAGTGGACAGCTTTCAATGTTATCTGTGCAGGAGCGCCTTCTCACCAGTCCTCAGTGGGAATGAATTCCTGGCCTTTCATACCGGAGCAGCGCCATTCCACGATGGGGGGAACACCCTCCCAACAGTGTGCACTCATAGTCTTGCTTGTGTTTTTCATACATGTCTGCCAGTTCTAGGAGAATGTATGCGTCCAAATATTTACCAGTCATTAATACTACCGGGTGTGTCTTTCCTCAACAGAGCAGAGCCACCAATCTGCATCCTACATAACCGTCACTCAAATAAGTGCCACCCGCCCCCCCCCCCCCCCCCCCACTGTGTTTGCTCTTCGAATGGTGATGTCAGCGCGGGATCATTTGGCGATGTCATGATATTTAAAACTGGCTCCATTTGATCA